GGTCCCTTCGCTTTGGGTGGACTCCCTTCACTTGTGGGGCGCCCCCCAAGTTATGGGGCGCCCCCCAACTGTTCTTGGGGCCCCCCCCTGGCCCTTTTGTCCCCCCCCCAGGACGTGCTGGTGAAGGTGGTTCGCTACGAGGGGTTCTTCAGCCTCTGGAAGGGTTTCACCCCCTACTACGCCCGGCTGGGCCCCCACACGGTGCTCACCTTCATCTTCCTCGAGCAGATGAACAAGTGGTACCGGCGCCTCTTCCTCAGCGCCTGACCCACAGCGCCGTGGGGCAGCCCCATAGGGGCTGTGGGGCAGACCCATAGCAGCCCGGGGGGGGGCCCTACCCCCATAGGGGCTGTGGGGCAGACCCATAGCGGCCCGGGGGGGGGCCCTACAGCGGACCTATGGGGGGTTTATGGGCCCTACGGGGGTCTACGGGACATCTCATGGGGCTATGGGGTAGCTTGTGGTCCCTCGTGGTCCCTGTGGGGGCCATGGGGCAGCCCCATAGCGGCCCTATGGGGGGTTTATGGGCCCTATGGGGTGTCTTGTGTTCCCTGTGGGGGCTGTGGGGCAGCCCCATAGCGGCCCTATGGGGGGTTTATGGGCCCTATAGGGGCTGGGTTATGTCACATGGGCCCCATAGCGGCCCTATGGGGAGTTTATGGGCCCTATAGGGGCTGGGTTGTGTCATATAGGCCCCATAGCAACTGTGGGGCAGCCCCATAGCGGCCCTATGGGGGGTTTATGGGCCCTACGGGGGTCTATGGGACATCTCATGGGGCTATGGGGTGTCTCGTGGTCCCTGTGGGGGCCGTGGGGCAGCCCCATAGCGGCCCTATGGGGGGTTTATGGGCCCTATAGGGGCTGGGTTGTGTCATATGGGCCCCATAGCAGCTGTGGGGCAGCCCCATAGCGGCCCTATGGGGGGTTTATGGGCCCTATAGGGGCTGGGTTGTGTCATATGGGCCCCATAGCAGCTGTGGGGCAGCCCCATAGCGGCCCTATGGGGGGTTTATGGGCCCTATAGGGGCTGGGTTGTGTCATATGGGCCCCATAGCAGCTGTGGGGCAGCCCCACAGCGGCCCTATGGGGGGTTAATGGGCCCTATAGGGGCTGGGTTGTGTCATATGGGCCCCATAGCAGCTGTGGGGCAGCCCCACAGCGGCCCTATGGGGGGTTAATGGGCCCTATAGGGGCTGGGTTGTGTCATATGGGCCCCATAGCAGCTGTGGGGCAGCCCCACAGCGGCCCTATGGGGGGTTAATGGGCCCTATAGGGGCTGGGTTGTGTCATATGGGCCCCATAGCAGCTGTGGGGCAGCCCCATAGCAGCCCTATGGGGGGTTTATGGGCCCTATGGGGTGTCTTGTGGTCCCTGTGGGGGCTGTGGGGCAGCCCCATAGCGGCTGTGGGGTGGCCCTATGGGGTCTGTGGGGTGTCTCGTGGCCTCTATGGGGCCTGTGGGGCAGCCCCACGGCCCTATGGGGGCTGGAGAGTGTGCCTATGGGGGGCTATAGGATGTCCTGGGGTCCCTATAGGGGGCTATGGGGCAGCCCCACATCCCTATGGGGGCTGTGGGGTGCCCCCCATCTCCCTATGGATCAGTTGGAGCCGCTATGGGGCAGCCCCATATTCCCCTCCTTCTGCCCCAACACTCTGGGGTCACGTGCCCCACGGCGTTTTCCCCCCCCTGCCCCACACTTGGGGGGTGGACTCCCCCCACTCCTGCCCCACACATGTCCCTCTGCCCCCCAACCAGCCTAAGGTCAATTTTTAGGGGGGCGGGGGAGGAATCAAGTGTTTTATTGATTGTCAAGGTCACGTGTGGGGCAGGAGCCCCCCAACCTCTGCCCCATAGCGGGCTACCCCCCACCCCCTCCCCGCCCCACACGCTGCCGTGGGGCACCCCACGGCCCCTGGAAAGCGCTTCGTTAATGACTCCTTGATTTAAAATAATTAAAATGAAATCATGACGAGAGCAACAAGTGATGTGGTTGGGGGGCAGACCCATGGAGATGGGGCCTACCCCACAGCAGCTGGGGTTGTGACCCACGGCAGGTTTGGGGGGCTGACCCACAGCAAGTGGGGCCTGCCCCATAGCAGTGTTGGGAGGTCTGACCCATGGTGGAGCCTGACCCATGATAGGGCCTGCCCCATAGCAAAGCCTGCCCCACAGCAGGCTTGGAGGCCTGACCGACGCTAATAGGGCCTGCCCCATAGCGTAGCCCACCCCACAGCGTACTTGAGGCTCTGCCCCACATCGAGCTGGGTCCCTTTTCCCCTCACTCACCCACGGTTGCCTCAGCTTCTCCACGGCGGGACCAGGCCCACAATGGCCT